CTGTTTAATTAACATTTTAACTTCAGATTTGCTAAAATTAACAAATAAATCCACTGACACATTTTTAGCAGCTTCTTTTGCTGCCTTATCTACTTGTTAATTTCCTTTAATTCCATAATGTCCCGGTATCCATACAAAATTTATAACTAAACCCATCATATTTATTCTATATAGTGTCTGTTGAATTTCTATTAAAATATCTGGCCTGCTTTCTGAGTGACTATACTGCAAACTAATTAAAGATGGTCTAGAGTCTGAACATATGACTGATCTTAATGGCTTAACTTCTTCCACCCATTGAACAGCTAATAATATTGCAATCATTTCTCCCGTATAAACTGAAAGTCCCTTCAGTCATCTCATTAAGTGAGTCCAATCTTAACATGATGACTTGATGAGATGACTGCAGTCTGGTGTGCTATTGCTTGTTTGGAAAGAAAACCTGCAGCCACACGGCCCTTTCTGGAACCAGTTTGACACTCCTGTTTTAGATGCATCTCTTCTCTAACACACCTGAATCAAAAGGCGAAATCCCCTCATTTAGGCCAACAGGTTGATTCAGGTGTGTTAAAAACGGGGTGCATCAAAAAGTTGCAGGATAGTAGCTTTTGAGGACCTGGACATGAGCACTCCTGGTTTAGATGCTTCCCTGCTTTCCATTGATGGCTGATTAACAGACTTATGCCTAACTGCAGGAACCTAAATCAGATGTGTTTCAGCAGAAAAACTTTTTTAAACATGGAGGGCAGTGTGCCTTCAGGAGCAGCGATGAAAAACATCAAGGTAACTGATTATTACCTTTGCATTTTGTTAACAGACACTACCAAACCTTTGTATTTTTTTATTTCATAGAAGGTAGCAGAAAGCTGCAGTAAAGCAACTTGTGTATAAATACATTTAATACATGAATGTAAATCAAAAGAAATAAACATACATTATGCCTAAATTGCACAACCTAATGAAAATAAAGGCATTAAAATTAACATCGGAAATGGTGTTAGCTTGATTAGCACAAGGCAGCCTAGCTAACAGGTTAGCATGACCGATTCTCTGCATAACATTTTCATATTAAACAGATTTTCTCACCGAGTTCAAATGAGTGTTCAAGAGGCACAGAGAAACCACTCATTTCGGTTTCCAGTGGATCACCGCCCTGAAAATGACAAAATCTGCTTTTAGCATTCAAATTATCACTCAATGCTAATGCTAAATCCTTAGTAAAAATAAATATAGCCCCGCTCATTTAAGATACCAATAAATATTTTAAAACTCTTACCCTTCGACCATTATTACAGTATGCTAAATCTGTGCAAACGGAGAATAAAACGTTGATAATGATGACAGCTTTGAACGCTAGTAGACGAGCCATATTCCTAAATGTAGCCACCGGAAGTAGGCGAAAATGTAGCAACTTCCGGTTTTTTCAAGATTAAAGCCTTAATCTGTTATTCAAAAAAAAAAAAAAAATAATAATATATTTATATTTTTTAAGCTTTTGTTTTTTTGAATAACAGATTTACGGAAGAGGATTGGGGAAACCCGTAAGAGGATTGGAAGAGGATATTAAACTGAAATAAAATTTAAAAAATCAGTTAACTTTTAGTTTTTTAAGTGGCCCTAATCCTCTTCCATACAGATTATATATATGTTAGGGCTGTGATTAATCAATTATTGAAATAATTGTCTGCTAATTTAATTATCGATTAATTTTTATACATAGTATAAAGAGACTCTAAAACATGCATTTAGCCGAAGGAGCAACCTACTTAGAGCAGTAATTATATCAAAATTGTAAAGAATAAAAATTTTGCATTTAATGTAAAACAAATGTTTTTGTCTGTCAATATGCTCTATCCAGTTCTCCTCTAGTGGAAATGTTGGAGTTTAACCTGGTTTAATTTCATAAAAAGTGGTCTGTGGGTTACTCGGGGCAGAGAAACCCAAACTGGAGGAGTGGTTACAGCAGATCCCTGGAAATACACCTTGGTCCAGAAAAGTGCAGTTCTAGGAAAGGCAAAGATACTGTGCAGAACCCAGGCCTCTGGTAGAGGACCTGAGCTTGGTAGGAATTCTTCAACGATCCTTTACATTTTATAAAATACTTTAAATGCTCTACATTTAAATTAAAGAAAGAAATTAAATGAAAACTCTTTCACATATTTAATCTTTATTTTCCAAACACTTTGCACAAATTGCAGGAGTTTAGATTAGATTTTATCAAGCCAACATATGCTATGGAGCCAGAGCCCAGCTTTTATCAATAAGGCGGACACTCTGTCTACTCTTCAAATTAGGTTCAGACTTTCTTAAAAAAAAAAAATAGAGCAGGGTGGAATACAGGAGAGTAGAATAGAACAGAATGCAAGATGACAAAAATATTCTCTGTTCCTGTCTAGGGATTTTCAGATGTACACACAGCAAAGTGTGCACACAAAAAAACACAAAAATAAGAAAAAAACAAGGCAGCCTGGCTAACAATTTAGCATGATCAATCCTCTGCCTAACAAGAAAAGTAGTTCAAAGTTATTAAGCATAGAATGCTCATATTCAAAGCACTGCTCCAACAGTCTAGGCCGGAGGTCTTCAACAGGGGGTCCGTGACCCCTTGGGGGTCCACGGAGGTTCTGCATGGGCGTTGTGAAAGTTTTGGTTGGTTACACTTTTTTAAATATTCCTCCCTGCAATTTTTTCCACTAAAAGAAATGGTTTTAAATGCACATCAACATGAATTCAACACACTGATAAATGGATAAATGGAGGCAGAAAATATCTTTCAGTAATCGATGCACACATTAGGCGACACAGAGGAGCTCTTTCAATCTGGGCACCGTTTCATTCACAACACCTGTCCCATCAACGAAGAATCAGAATCAGAAATACTTCAATAATCCCAGAGCAAAATGACTTTTGCTACATTACTCCATCTGTAATAGTATGACTATAGGACCAGTTTGATATAACACAATTTCATACAATATATATAATTAGGGGTCCCCGCTCCATCTGGCCTTTAGTTTGGGGGTCCTTGGTCAGGAAAATATTGAAAACCTCTGGTCTAGGCTGAGGTAAATACTAAAGTTGGCTTTGTATTACCTAGGTAATTATTCCTCTCTAGGCCTAGGCAACTGAAGAAAACACTGGCCACCTTAACGTTACTCGGCGGGGTTTTTACTTTCTGTAGGCAAGGCAAATTTATTTGTATAGCACAATTCAGTACAAAGACGTTCCAAAGTGCTTTACATGATTAAAATATAGGAAAATAAAAAAGAATCAAAGCGAGCAGGAAAAAAAAGAGAAAAAATGCAAGAACAAAAAAGAATATTAAAAACAGTTGGACTAAAGAAAATAAAGTTGACCTAATGTTTCAGTTGAACTGTTTAACTAGAACAGTCAAAGGCAATCCTAAAAAAATTTGTTTTTAGTCTTGAACTCGGTTCCTTTAAATCTGTTTGCCTGTATTGGAGCTATTAACTTTATATTCACTCTATAATTTTTTTTTTCTTCACAAAAGTAAAACCCTTAATCTCATTTGTGTGTCTGATAGCATTTAATATCAACCCTCCTCTGCTCGTCGAGGAGGGTGGCGTCTGAAATAGAATTGAGCTCCATTAGAAGTTGCTTCCTGGAACATGGAAGTGTAACTGGCTTTTAAGTTGAGTATTAAGATTTTGAATGTATTAGAATATCTGCACCAAATTGAAAACTGTTTGTCTAAGTTTGATTCTATCTAATCAGATAGAAACAGGGGCAGTATTCAACACATCTGGCTTTTATTTTTTTCAAGAAAAATCCTCACTGTGCTCAATATGATTGAAGTGAAGTTTGTTGCTGTTTCAGCTATTTAAAAATCTTTTTTTACCTGGCCAAGGTACGGTTTAACCTCCTCATGATGCATTAAATAAACATTAGTATTGTAAATTCCTTAAGTTCAAACATGGAGATGTAAGTTGGTATTTGCATGCACAGACACATTCAGAACCAGCAGAGGCTGCTAACAGACCAGAAAACACCTCCTCAACCTTTCTCTCACCCTCTCACCGATCCAAAAGCCCTTTTTACAAGAAATACTAAATATTTATATCCTGCTCAAAGGAAAGTAAATTATGTTTTAAAATCTTTTAGTCAGCACTTGATACTCTGCTTTGCCAAATTTTTAGTTTGTCACATTGAGGGAGAGAGTTCATGTTAAAGCTTATTGAGCTCCTGGCTGTAGCTGCTTTAATCCCAAGCCATGGATGAAATTTTTACTGTGACATGTTCACATTAAGCTGGAAAGGACAGCTGTACACTTCTGGCATCTGTCTCCAGAGATTGTTGAAGCTTTATTGCCTATAGAAAATATTCTTAAACTGTGGGAAACTGTGAATATTCCTAAAGCATTGAAAATATGACATTTTCTAAAATCTGAAACACTGGTATGGAAAGCTGCATATGTGCTGTGAGATCATTAAATGAACAAAGCATTTAAAAAAAAGTATTGGAATTAGTCTTTGTTGTAACTGATACATTGCAGTGAACAAGTTCTTTGTTTGACTTGCCTGACAAGAACATTTCTGCATGTACTCCATGTGTGTAAACGGATTCTCTCTGGGTACTCTGCCTTTTGTCCACAATCCAAAATAATGGATGTGCCTATAAACCATATTTAGGTTTAAAATAATACTAGAACTTTATTGATCTCGTACTAGAAAAATTCACCTCTGTATTCAACCCATCCCCTTGGGTAGCAGTGGGCTGCCACTGTGCAGCACCAGGGAAGCAGTGTGGGGTTAAGGGTCTTGCTCAGGGACCCAGAGTGGGCTGTGGATCAAACCGGGTACTTGCAGCCTTCTCAGAGCACAAGCACACTGCTTTAACCACTCGGCCATCACCTCTCTATGGTATGAATGTGTTTGCATGCTTATTTTTTTTTTTGAGTCTCTCTGGCTCTGCGATGGACTGCAGACCTGTCCAGGAACCACTTCAATTGCTAAATGATAGTTGAACATAGGAACCAGCCACTAATATCCTGTATTTAATGGAGCATTGTGATAAACGCATAATTAACAGAGAAACATTTGATTTCATTTTTTGTTGTTTTTTTTAATCCATGTGGGGCTTTAAAAAGACAGATTTACCAGACAAAAAAAATTATAGCTATAAGAAAAGTGAAGATGAAGTTCCTTTAATGTTATAATTATTATATACATTATATGCTGTTACACTCACAATAAGGACACAGTACTATTTTGCAATTCCACCTAATGTTTGTTAATTGTACAAAATTATGTAACTGCTCTATAGCAGGGATCTTTAAACCTGCTCCTCAGGATCCACTGTCCTTCATGTTTAGTGTTTCCATGGCTTAATAGAATGTGGCCTCTGCTGCCCTCGGTGGAGGAGTGCAACAATCTTTGGAGCAGAAACTCATCTCGAACAGAAAAAGTGATCCCAATGTTTGAAAACCACTGCTGCATAGTACTGCCTGGTTCTAATTGAAAATTACTTTGAAATATATGGTTTAAATAAATAAACAAATGCCACAGTTATTGAACAAAATTCTCAATACCTACATTTTGAACAGTTATAGCTAATTGGACTGGTTCTAAAAAAACAACAACATATATTTCATAAACTATATTTGTAACCATCTAGTATAAATAATTTTTTTAAAGTTAACCAGTAGTGGTGTTTTATTACAATTGCTCTGTATATCAAAATACATTTTAAATGATTTATTAGGAATTTTTACTTAAATTAGCATTTCTGCCTCTGTGAAAAGCTGAATTAATGGAGATATTTGTTGAAAGCACATATTTATTTTATAACTTATTTTATAACCACTTTTATTAACATGATCAACTCCATCTGCAACTGTTCTTATTTTCATTTAAAGCTCAACTTATTGCCACACTGTAACTGTCTACCTATAGTCTAGCAGCACCCGTGCTCTTCCTCCTCTGTCTGAATCTCTGAATGTTGCATATTCTGTGTTTTGGTTGTTGCAAAACACAGAATATGCATATGTGTTTTGGTTGTTCTCACCGTTTTTCCACAAACATCACAAGTTGAGTTTTGGCGATTTATGAAGCTAAATAATTATCAGAGACTTCTTTTATGTTTCAATTCAGTTTATTTCTATATCGCCAATTCACAACACATGTCATCTCAAGGCACTTTACAGTTCACCAGTTTATACAGTCAAATTGATTCAATTATTTCTATCAAAGGAAAACCAGCTGATTGCATCGACTCATTGGCTCGAAGGTGATCCTTCACACTCAGCATGCTTGTAGTGACAGTGGAGAGGAAAAACTTCCTTTTAACAGGAAGAAACCTCCAGCAGAACCAGGCTTAGTGTGAGCGTCCATCTGCCGAGGCCAACTGGGGTTCAAGGAGACGGATCTAATTTGTATGAGC